AGAGAGTCCATAAGTGCTCATTTTTATGAAATGGCCAATTGGAGCAATCTAATGAAAGAAATGGGGGGGATCTTTAATTTCTCGTTGCTTTCTGGGGAATGTTGCTGCAGAGCTCTATGAGGTCAAAATGCTTAATTCCTTCTTTTATTTATTTGGCAATAAACTTGAATCATAACCCTCCCATTGTATAATGTCAGAATTCTGAAATACTTTCGAAGTGTGCATACATGTGCATACATACATACATGCATGCATGCTGACATGTACGCCTACATGCTTATACTTAATCTACAGAGATTTATCTACCTGTTGCTTTTTGTAGAGATCTAAGAAAGAGCCCTGTGTGCTAAATTTTCTTGCAATTCTTCCCTTTCTCTCGGTCTCTTTTCTTGCAAATCGAATGAAAAGTGCAGGATTTAACTAGAAGGTTACTAAAGCATAAGATCTGGAGACATTTCATCAGGTCTTAAATATAAAGTTGCACTATTAAGTTCCTAAAACCAAGATCTTTGAAAAAAAAATCTATATTAAAATCTAGGGTTTTCAACCATACAGTTGCAGTTTTTGAACTACTAACCCTCCTGTTTCTAATGTCTTCAGATATTGGATATTATTAAAAAAAAAACCTTATATTAGACGCACAAGCTCATATATTGGATTATTCAAAGGGCTGCTTTTGTATCAAGGTCAACATAATTTTACAACAAGCCAGTCTCTTTATAAGATTTCTTTAAGCTCACAAAATGACTCCTTTCTCAGCTATGACTTATGTGGTAAACATCTAGATATTTGTCCTGGGTTAGTCTAATGCTGTTGGCAGCCTTATTCACGGAGAATCAGGCCAAGTATATGGCCAAGATTAAAATAACCAGGAAACTGAAATCTTCAGAAAAAAAAACTCTCTTCATAAATGCCAATGAGACTGATTAAAGGTACAGTATTATGCAGACAGAGAAAAACACTGACATTTCTATGTTTATCAAGAAATAGAGTCATTGCTAGGTTTGGAGTTTGGGATCCTTCCTCCCTCCCTCCCTTCTCCTTTTCTTTCTTTCTTTCTTTCTTTCTTTCTTTCTTTCTTTCTTTCTTTCTTTCTTTCTTTCTTTCTTTCTTTCTTTCTTTCT